CCAGAAATAATTGGTTCTTATTTTCATACAGAATTCTTTAACAAGAAATTCTTCGAATCGCAATAAACATGAACATCTTCACTCGAGATTTGAAGTAAACAATGAAATGTTTTCTCTAACAAGCTCATCATATTCGCACGTTTACACACTTCATTGCTGCCTTCAGAACAGAACGGCAAGGTCGCAGTGAGGTAGCGAGTCTCACATTACATACGACATTTTTGCTACGTGGAAATATTATCAGACCAAGATTTTATGAGAGCATAAACATTAACGTACTTGCTTGCCTATGTCTCGACCTGGCTAAGCACGTACATTATCCAACAATGTCTTTAGAGACAAACATTGAATGATTTGAAGGACGAAAGCGTATTCGATTCATCAATTTGTTAGTGGAATCTTAGATTTTCTTAATTTAGATTTGAAATTTTAGAGGAATTTAAACATATCACTTTTGGTTATGAAGGCGCGTATCCATATGAGAGTGTAGTTGAAATATTTTCAGATTTTATACAAAAAGAAAAAACAGTGATGTTGAATGATGACTAAGTCCCATCATTTTTATTCCTTCTGCATGCATTTAACTATTTTTTTCGACAATTACTATCATCTTCAGGTACTCTTATGAATATTTTATAGGTGATTCAATGGAGGTGTTTGTGCACAAAGGCACAATGCTATATTTGTAATATTGTTTGTGTTTCATTGCCTTTGAAATTGAAAGTCCTTCTTAGATTTATAAATTCAACAACACACAAATAAAGCTGACTCAAAGTTAAACACAAATCACTTAACAATACAACTTAATAATACCAATCTATTAAAAACACAGTCCCTCATCATATTTCACACAAAAGCGTTTTGCTGCAACTGCTTAAATGAGTAGATTTAAACGGCCTGCGCCATATGCGTGCGCCCGAATTGATACAGTATGACGTCATGATAGTTCGCGTCTTTAAACGCTTCTTTGAATTGGTTTTTCACCGCAAGAAACTTTTAATATTTTTTATAAACTGACTATTGATATTTCACTGCTCATATTTTGCAGTAGTTAATAGATATCATAGCGGAATAACAAAGATGAAGTTCATCTTCTGGTTACTACTCATAACTTTTTCATTTTTCACGTTTCCACCAGAAGGAAATATTATATAAGTGACTTTACATTAGAAAAAAACTCAGAAAAAAACATTGTATTGAAAAGTCACAAATACGTATTTAATTTTTTTTTGTTGTATCTCAATGAGCGTAAAAGTTCTACTAGTTTGCTAATTGGCACGATTTGGTATTTCCAATAATATCCATTCAATCAAAAATGCGCATCCATTGAAATCAGCCTGTATTGAAACTGAAATCTAATCTTTCAGATATCAGGCAGAAACATCCCAAACACTTTTAAATTAATAACGAACGAAGGTGAAACATGTTGGCTGCAGCCCCCTTCTGCGTGAGGCGCCTCATCCTGTCGCCAGCCAGTTTTGTGATGCACGTGCCCCATTGAATTGATGTTTGCTTTTTCTTTGCCATGCTAACACTAAAATTCCCGTTAGTCACAGCTTAGCTACCCCTCCGGCGGCGCCATTCATTATGTCATCCCTCAACTAGGAAGTGGCGCCACCAGACTATTTGATTTAGTATCACCACAAAAAAAAGTCCCGGTGAATTAATTCAGTTACCAGATATTATAGAAAATATAAAAGTGGTAATTAATCATTCGTGTTCTTTCGGATATAATAGAATTAATAGAACAGAACATTGCCTTATCTCTTGTGAACAATCAATAGTGGTCTTCAAGAACTGAGTTTAGAGTTCCAAATTCACAGTGACAGTTTTCTGATGCGGCTTTGTTTTGATAATATACATAATTCAAAATAATAGTTATACAAATGATTTATTCGTACTAAAATACGCATTTTCTTAAGAAATCACATTTTTTCGACTTGCTTACGGAATAAATATTTTGTAGAAACGAATAAATTGCAGGATAAATTTTGGAAACATGAATTAAAAAAATTGCTTCTGCATATTTTTGCATCAGCACTGCTCACTTATCTGTCCTTCGTATAAATAAAAACCCCAACTGTAACTAAATGATCAATTCAAGAAATGGAACAACCCAAAAAAAAAACAAATAATACAAAATCACTTACAAGGAGCCTCCACATAATAGTTTTGACTGAAAATCGGAATTGTCCTTAAACTGTGTCAAATATTTTTTCGACATAATTTGTTAGTGTTTGTTAATTGCGAATTATGAAAATAGGTTTTTGGCTTTTGTATACAGTGCTAATTTTTTGACAGTGAGTACACGTAAAAAAAGTTTTGAATATTGAAATAGATTTGAGCAAACAAACCACATAGAATAAAAAACAAAAAACCGTGCCGAACAAAACATATAACTAACAAAAAACATATAGTTGTTATTTTTACAGTTACAGAAAATCATGAGTAGAATGCCAAGAGAATAAACAATAATTTAGAGATATCAAAATTTCTCAGCAAGTTGAAAAAATGTCTTTCTTACCATGTGTACCAAGAGTTGTTAGAAGCAGATTTCATTCAAGGCCACTGAATAACTATACTTGAGGTTTCAAAAACAATGGTTGTCCCTGTCAAAATATATTTTGATGGACACCCGGAAACTATATCAATCCTAAAGCAACACACTGTTGTCTTGGCAGACAAACTTGAATTGTTTCAAAAGTTACAACTAATCCGATTATTACAAATTAATTAGTTCATCAAAAATGCAGCTATGAATATTCATAACGAATCATTTCTGTCGAGTGTATTCGATAAACAAAGCCATTTGTTAAGATTGAAACCGTGCCTGGTGTTTCAATTTTAGCACACTTACTTTTCCTTGCTACTATCTCTAATTTATGGTATATTTGTTGACATACCCGTGTTGTGATGAATTCGTATTGTCACGCGGTATTTTTCTTGGTAACAAATTTGTTCTTAATTCAGTGTTGACATAAAGATAACTTTTGGCTGCAAAATGTGTTGTTATATTCTGGCACCTGTCTATTATATTACATAGCCATAAAAGTATATGGCAATTATACATTTTTATCTTGATTTTTCAGATACTCTATTTATCCTTATCAGTCAATTTTTGGCTCTGATCAATATATATGTCATTGAGTTCAACAACATCGACAACATACTACAACACACAATTATAGAGATGAATGTTCTCATTCGCCTGCGTTGCTGCCACTACCTGTGTTTGCAGATTACCTGTTTTGGCTCTATTACCTGAGCTGCCTCTCCTGTCTCTGTTATTATACCTGTATTGTCATGTGCTGAGTTTTGCTTCTGGCGTTGAGCGGTTTGTTTCTTTGTGTCAAGCGAAAAAATGGATCTCCATGTTGTTGGTAATCTTTGCGCAAAGAGGCTATCAAAATTGAAAACCGATCTAATAATATGAACAAGAGGTATGATGTATTCATTACAATTATAGTGTTCGTTTCGGATGTTATTATTGCTATCATTTCTTTTTCTGCTCATTAAAACATATATAATATATTTTTGATGTAGATATGTTTCAAATATTCATAACAGGTTTTCTTATTCGAAGTTCATTGCAATGAAAAAAAAATGAATAGGTGCCTAAAAATGGAAAAAATTTTTCGAAAAACTCTACGATACATAGGGAGATGTGAAAGTTGCTATTATTTTTTTATTCAACTCAGTCAACCAATTTCTAGGTCCTTAATTTAAAAGGGAATAATTCACACAATTATAATCGAATATTATCGGAACATCCAGAAATATAAAATTGAATTTAATTTCTCAGTATGAATTGAAGGTCTACGATCCAAAAACTACAACAAAAAATACAGGTCCGTATTTAAAAATTCGAAGATGAGGGTGGCACAAGTCAGATGACACCCTGTATAAAAGATTCATGGATATATTCTGAGAGCCCACATCAAGTGCCGATAGCAAAATGTGGACAGATTTTCAATATGTTTGCGAATAAAGAAGATATTTAGCAAAAAAATAATTTGGGATTTTTTGGTTTTTCCTGTATATCTCCATAACCAAAAAAGCTATATTCGCTTTCTTTACATCATTGAATAGATCTCTGAAATACACAACTTTGCCACAATTTAACCGACACTCTATCTCTTATCGTTTACGAGATCCCCAGGTACAGAAACGAATTTGAATAGCCCTGTATATGAATATAACGTCGGAAATCATGAGTACATTTCTGTTTATACTGAATTTTTATTGTTGATTGATTATAAGGTCAACTTATTTATGATTATTTTCAGAATACAGAAATATAGCATATCGTTTCAAGATCAGGTTTATTCGAAAAAGTTGGAGAAATTTCATTGACAATCTGAAAAAGGCAACCAATATTTATTTATAACTTCTTTCTGCATTATAATTTTTCAACATAGACTAGGCGACTATGAATGAAATATTGCAAATTTTGTAACATTTTTACTACCTCTCGTTAATATCGATAATTAAAGTGTCGCTGTCTATATCTTCATTGAATGTATGTCCCATGTACCTAGCGATCGTATATCTCTAACTGTCGAATACTTTGATCTGGATCTCTACAAAATATTCATTTGTTCAGTTCTTGCGATATTTGTAGAGACTATTGATTGTATATATTTTTCTTCAACATTTTCACAACAAAATACAGTTATGAAACGTTGATTCCCCCACTAGAAACGGGTTTTAAATCGTTTGTTACTTCACTAAAATCTACTATTTAAGATATATAAATTTACTTCTGCATATTCAAGTGGACAAAATGTTTCGTAAAATTTATCACCACATTTCGAACCGAAAAACTGCCTTCAATATTATGTTTCGCGAATCACAAAGTGACACACTTTTTCCAAATGTTACTCTGATGTAGGAATATTTTGAGGTGAGTTCTGATAAAAAACAAGATCCAAAATTGGGAATAAATGATGCCTCGTAGAATACGTCATAATTTTAGACCGTTTCATCTGATGAAAACTCACCTTCTGGTTTTATCCTATCTGCATTGGTTCTACTATATGGAGGTGGTGGCGATTCTGAAAATAAAATAAATTAGACATAAGCATCGAAACAATATGAATGGAATATATTTATATTAATGAATAACTTTTCCTTTAAACCAATCATTTTTTACTATTATATTAAAATGAAAATTGAAACATATTAATTGATTTTACAGAAAATTTAAAACATTTTGCCTAATTCAAGATGGAAAAGTAGGAAGATAAACCCTCCCTTTCCCAAATCTCTTCTGAAAATATACCCGTTTCAAGTTATAAAAGTTATTTAATGAAAAATAGTGTTCATATTTGAGTCGTAGTAGTTCTGTTTAAAATCTGTTTTTCCGTTAACCAGCTGTCGCATCCCTACGAACGATAACCCTCAGAAGTGGAAACTTGTGCGAGCTAAGGAATAACGAGGTCTTACCTTCTAATGTGTGATTCCTAACACGGAGTTATTACTATTATTAGCACCTGCTTATTTTGAGTTTGTTTCCTGAGAATTATTCAGGAATTCATTTTAAAATGTAGTTATAATCAAAAATTGTATTCCTTTATTTGTTGTTTATTTTGTTTTGATTTATCAAGAGTCATTCGATATTTCCTTCAGAAAAATTGGCTTGAGTAAATGTTACTCTGCCTATACTTACTGCTATTTGAAGCGTATTTTCAACCGATTCAGTTTCATGTTATCATAAAAGTCAAATAAAAAGTAAGGAGGTCATTTATTGAGATTAATTATGAGGAACAAATATCCAGAAAAGCAAATTAAATGCTGGATAAGAAATGTAAGATGTATGCCGTCAGTATGTTTACTGTTTACACACTGGTGGATCGCATCCCTACAGTGGTGTGGGAAATGATTATTAGTTGATGACGCTGGCGAATGTATCAGGGCTTCGGGATTGAGGCCGCACCACCTTAACCTTAGATGAAATGATGATAATAACAATAGATTTTTTGGAAGAAGAAAGAAAACACATTAAACATATGAACCTATTTAATGGCAGGGTTTATGACAAGATCTGAAAGTCCTTTCAATAAACACTTTGAAGCGTTTATGTAATTTTGATATCATACTGGTTGTTGCCCGCGGCTTCGCCCGTGTAGAATTTGGTAGTTGTAGTACTAATTAGTACTATGTTGCTGTATCGCTGCTGTTCCAATGTTTTGACACAATCAGAATCAACGAACTTAGGCGTGCGCAGCGTTATAGAACAGTGCTTTCAAAAAATTGTTCTACAGCGCCATCTAGTGGCGAGTTAAAGATAAATTGATAGCCTAAAAACCTTCTCTATGAAAAATTACTTATACATGTCAACTTTCATCACGATCGGTTGAGCGATGTAGAAGTTTATCACTTACCAACCGACCAACCAACCAATCAACCCACCAACAAACATCCATTTTTATATATTAGATTTTGAGGTGGAAAGTTATCGAGTTTAACAGTCAAGTCAGAGTGACTTCCTGAAGATAGTACCACCGTTTTCCAGTTCATATATTCGTTGAATTTATATACTTTATAGCTGCAAAAAGCTGAGTGAATTTGTAGATTTCCAGCCTTTGCTTGCAGACTATTTTTTTTTTCAAAATATTATTTAGTGTACACATTAACTTCTGATGAAGACGTAGTCTGCAAATTAAAACTTTCGATCGCAAAAAAACCCTCGAACAAACCCGAATTGACAGTCGAACTGTTGATAAGTCAGTGATTTCAGGTTTGATAAATATTTCTCTTCACCTTTCAAATTTTCCGCGGAGTGTTACATCCTATCTCAGATGTTGATCTACAAAAAATAATGTTTGATATTTATAATAGTCATAATATTGAATAATGTACAACACATTTTGTTTTATACAGAACATACCAGATATTTTCGTCGCGTTCCACTGAAACTAGATGCGGCCTACGGCCTCCGTAGGTAATTGTACGTCTGAAAAAGTTAGATAAGTATACTTTCCTAACCCACGGTTTTTGTCTCGTCTCGAGTGCCCACTAATTATTTTGAAGAAAACAACTCCAGTGATGAGAGGACGAATTCCCGTCTGCTGCATAGGCGGTCCGCGCCGGTCGAGAAACAGTTGAAGATAGTAGAGGCGCCATGGCCAATTTCGATGGGTGGCAAGTCGTGTCTACGTGTCTGCAGATACGAGGGGGGAAATAATTGATCGAATCGAGTATTTTCAGAGATATACCGAAATGATATTTTGGTTAAAGGTTTTGAACGCAGCATTATGCGAGTATCTTAAATATTAGCGAAAAGTACACTTATACAGACCAGCGCTCAAAATATAGTATTTCAAAATATATCTTATCAAATTGGGGGAAGTCATTATCTCGACTGATTAATATTGTTTGTATCTATTGAAAGCACTTTTTTCTCCGCAGAACAAAAATACTGATCTCGATGCGTGTTTTGCTAACCAAGTTGGCATAACCAGGAGATGACTGAAACTAAATCTCACAGCTATGTTCCAGCTTTAATTTGAATCCGGACAAACTTTCGTCTCACTTTCATATTCAATTTTTTGAAAATTTGTACCAATTCGTATTCATTGGAGAATATCAAACATCAGTATAATTCTGCCGAAAACCTCAACAAGAGAAATTGGCGTTACAGGTATGTTCTTCAAAAACACGAAGATGTTTGTGAATATAATCAAAACGTCGTGAATATTTTTGAAATATATTTATGTTTTCTTTCAAGATTTATAATCATTTTGATTTTACTTTTCTACTTTTTTACATTTCACTAATAATATCAAATATATCAAAAATGATATGAATTTGACCTGAATTTGTTGTCATCAATTATGTTTAAAATTCTTCATTGTTTTTATGGCAATAAAAACAATTCATCATACATCCTGTTTTGTATCTTTCACTTATTATTTTACAGAATATACTGGTATACTTATCGAGTAATGAATCATCATTACTCGATAAGTGTGAAAGTAAGTGTGATAAACCTATTATCAATACCCAAACAACTGTAAACTTTGGGTTTATTCAATGGAATTATTGGCTGAGATTATAACAGGTAGAAGGTAATCATTTACTTATCCTAAACTATTCTTTATGAGGTGTTATTGGGTAATTAGTTGAATATTTTACAAATACGATTTATATTGTGACGGCATGACGTACTTTGGACCGAATCTTAAGTTATCAGATTAAACATAAGAGATTACCTACAGTTGATTAAGTTTCTAATTTAACACGTGCATTCTTGCTGTCCTCAACACCCAGGTATAAGAATTCCGTGAAAATCAACAGTGAAACTATAGCCATATATAGTGATATAAAAGTTGAAATCGAAAGTGTTAGTTTTTATTTACTTGTCCTAGTCAAATTAACCCTTGACAGGGGTTGGTTGTCCATAGGCTAAGAGTAAGTTCACTCATAGTAATTTGGTGGTTAACAATGAGGTGATTTCAATTAGAACACTCGTTACTTTTCATTTGGCACCTATTTTAAAAATCAACAGTTTCTTTCACTTAATAACAATTCAATATCTTATATCAATTAAATTCACCATCTCTTCTTAAGGGATGGAAAATTATATTACTAAATTATAAAACCTCTTTCGGTTTCTTATGAAAGAATAAACAAACTGAAAGTATCAATAAAACTTCAACAAAATTGTGTAGATCAGTCATAAATTCACTTCAACCGATCTAAACTTGCTATATTTTTTCAATAAAAATAATAAACAATTTTTTTTACAAACAATTATCAAATAACTACATTAAACGAATAGTCTAGTCAAAATTATGAAAATCTAAATTGACACCGTGTATATTCTTTAAAATAATAAGAAAAGAAAATATTTTTCCTGGGCAACTAATCAGTGTATAATTTGAGCAAACTAACGGTCAGAGGCTGAAAAATTATGAAAAACTAAATAATAAAAGTTATATCGTTGACTTGGCATCAAGTCAGAAAAAACTTTTTTAAAAAAAAGAACGCGGAATTATTTTCTTCGCGATTAACTAGCAACAAATTAGCGGCAATTTATGAAATCATTAATTTTCATATTTTGAAAAGTGTCTAACTTTACCTACTTCGTATCAACTCGTGAGAAAGAAATTACCTAGCGAGCGACCCGACAATATATCAAAATCAACATTATGTACGCCCCCGGTAACACTACCATATCTAGTGCATGCCCAACGGTTCGAACCACCAACACAGAGGCGCCCAGAGTAAAAAAACCCATAACAACTTCACTGATGCACATCGGCAGTCTTTCTGGAAACATCTGTTATAAAAAGGTAAGATCAAGCAAAAACAAACATTCTTGGGATTGATTGACATTAGTCGTTTAGGATTTCGAATTCTTAAAAGGCATTATGTTACGAAGTTCATTTGATTTTCGGAAATGCCGCTGTGGAATGCGAAGACGTTCCTTCGGACGTTAAAGCTAAACAGTGGAAAAAGTCATCATGAGTTGCGCTTTTAATTCAGTCTAAATATTTAAAATCGATATCTAGTGTGAGCCATTTTTTAACTACTGCTGAATAACTTGATTTTTCATAGTTCTTACTTTTCCCAAATGTGAGCAAATATACAGTTATATGATTTAAAAAAAAATGGGTTCCATTTCAGAATGTAGATATTAACTGTTAAACAGTCCACGTCACTATGAAGGTACAGTTTTAGAAAAATTTTCCATGGTTTTCAAAAGAGAGCTTTTTTACGACATTACTATGCTCAAAACTATTGTTAAGTTGGTTAGTATCTGTATAACAGTCATCATAATTGTTTCCACAACTTTTCATGAAAATACATTTTTCTAAAGTCTACATTCCTATGATAATTTTCCAGATAGCAAATGACCTCACGGTTAAAAAATTCATTTTTACAGATCTTTTAATGTTCTGATAAAACACTGTTAAGTCATTTTTAGAATACGTGTTTTTATAAAAGAAATGAAAAAAATGAGACTGAAATCAATTTATTTTGGTTATTAAACTGGGGTGGAAAAAAAGTTGAATCATAATTTTCGTTCGGTGGAATTGTGTTTACAATT